TTATTTCTTTCATAGAATAAAATAAAAGCAGTAGGGAAGAAAAACATGCTCCTTGAAGTCAAGTAATACATGAAGATATTTTCATTTGTAAGAATTGGGACATCAATTATATAAAGTAGGAAAATAACATTTAACTGAACTAAGGAGAACATACTTGCTTCTCAGTCACAAGTGTTAAACAATTTTTGCTGTGTTACTTTAATGTGTTAATTGCCTTTATATACAGATTCTGTTGAGATCATTTTCTCAGAAGATAATTACTGCACTCATGCCACATGCCAGGTGCCTATGGGATCACACACATGGAAGGGTCAGGCCTTCTCTGAAGGCCACAGTGCAGAAGGGACCAGCCAGCCACAGAATCATGCAAGGTGGCCCCAGGGCTCTCTCTCTCTACAGCACAGTCTAGGACAAGGAGCTGCAGTGTGCAAAGCCAAAAACCAGGACCCCAACCTCATGGCTTACAGGTCAGGGACATGGAGGGCTGAAAAAGAAAAAAAAAGTACCAAAGGCAGAGAGGAGGTATTCAAGAACCAACCATGTGCAAAGGTTGACTTTTTTGCCCTATGTGAAAGGGTAGACATTTCTGCCCCTCTAGGAAGCACTGCGCTACTATTTCTTTTCTCTACTAAACCATGAGTATCCAGGGTTGGCTGAAATGGAGATCGAGGCCCTTTGGCCTTTTTACTTAACTAGGTACAGAGATGCCTGTATAAGTGAGTAAAGAAGAAGTTCACTGTGATGCTTTATGTTTAAATACTGAAGCCTATGTATAGAAGATGCAAAATTGTCTAAAGCATCTTAATTAATTACATGGATTATTTTACAAGGGAAATAAGAATAAGCACCATTACTAATTGTTAAGCACCTGTTTGATTTACATTAATTATTTCTAACCTACACTGGACCCATTTTTACAGTTTTATGGATGAGGAAACTTAGGCACAGAGAGGTGCCTGGGAAAACAGATACTAAAGAGAAGAACCTGGATTCAAATTCAGATTTTCCTGATTCCCAAGTTCAAAATCATTCCTTTACAGAGAAACAAATTGACTATGCCTCACTCTGATAAATTCTTCAGCCCTTAAATTCTGGCTTAGAAATTTGCATCTGAATGGACAACAGAACGGTATAATATGGGCAAAAAGTAAAAGATCCAGCTTAAGGTCCCTCCTAAGAAATGACCAGCAGTCTCCCAGCACCCACTTGCCCTTTCTTTGGTTGACAGTAGAACTGCCAGATTGTAACTGGGACATGTGACGACAGTCCCTGGATGGGAACAGTAGTACTGTGGGCAGTTCCCGGGTAACAGACCCCCGAGGAAGCACACTCTCCTTCTGGCCCTTCTCCTGTCCATTGGGTGTCACATGTTTATGAGAGCCCAACTCAGCAATGACTCCAGACCATGGGATGGGAGCCACATTTTGAAGTAACAGAGTGACTGGACACAGGGAGGGTCCCCATCATGGAGCTGCGTAGACTGCTGATGTGTGGACTGATGCAGTGGTGACATAGGTTGAATATTTGTGAGCCCCAAAACTCATATATTGAAATCTTAACCCTCAATACGATGGCATTAGGAGTGTGGCCATTGGGCAGTGTAGGTCATGAAAGTGGAGCCCTCATGAATGGAATTAATGCTCCACAGAGTCCACAGAGATCTCATTCTTTCAACCACGGAAAGTCAGAGCAAGGGTACAGACATTTATAATCCAGGAAGCAAGCTCTTAGCAGACACCAGATCTGTCATCTCCTTGAGTGGGGGCTTTACAGCCTCCAAAACCATAAGAAATAAATTTCTTCTGTGATGTTCTGTTACAACAGCCCAAATAGACTAGGTACTTAGTGAGACATGAGTTTCTATATTGTTTAAACCACTTTGGGTTTGAGTAACTCAGTGTTTCTCTAACTCCAGTACATATGAGAATCACGTGGAGGGCTTGTGAGGACACAAATTGCAGGGCCTCAGCCCAGACTTCTGAGGCAGTGATGGGGTGAGGCCTGAGACAGCCTCTACCAGATTCCCAGTGAGGATGCTGCTGCTGGTCCAGGTGGCAAGCTTTGAGACTCACCTTTCCAGCCAAAGCCATTATCCTCTCTCCTAGCCCTCAAAAGATCCCCCCGGAACAGAACACGGTTCTCAACTGCCTTTACTTACTGCTGCTTTGCTAGGGTTTATGTCGCTGTATCCCCAAGGCCTCCTGTACTCATAGGTGGGGTTGGGTGGCAGTGACTGGGTAGTGGATGGCGCTCCTCCGTGGACTGGTCCACTGATGAGTTGACAGCTGAGTTGCTGTTAGAAGGTGGGATCTGGGCAGAAGAGGTGGTCACTGGAGGGGTGGCCTGGAAGGGTTTATCTCTTCCCTGCTCCTCCCTTCCTTGGAGCCACGCAACTATGGCCTGAAACCTCTACAAACTGTGAGCCAAAATAAGCCTTTCCTCTTTTAAGTTGTAGGTGGCAGGAATTGGGTCTCAGCTATGAATAAAGTGACTATGACAAGCTGGTTAGTGCACTAGAAACAAAAACTCACTTCTGTATTAGCTTATCTAAAGCTATCTTTGCTGAAGACAAAGAGATTTGGAACATACCAGAAACCATGCAAAGGGACCAGATACAGTTCCAGGACCCATTAGATATAAAGATTCATGGGTGCTCAAGACCCTTATAGGAAGTGGCAGTGTTTGCCAATAACCTACACATGTCTAGCTGTGTGCTTTAAACTGCCTCTAGATTACCTGTTATCCTAACACAATGTAAATCCCCAGTAAACAGTTGTATCATGTAGGTAATGATGACCAAAATATCCTGTTTGTGTTCAGCACAAATGCATTTTTTCCAAATATTTCCAGTCTGAGTTTAGTTGAAACCAAGGATCTGAAGGGAGAACTGTGTCCGTAGAATCTGATGGGCTTTCAAATTTTAAATACCAAAGCCTAGAAAATTTAAAATTTCTCTGCAATAATCTATTGCCTGCAGGAATTACAACTTGAACTTAAAAAAATGTTTTTTCTTCAAACTTACATGGGTTTATTGTATGTCACATTCAGCTGTTATGATTTCCTCTTCCTAAACCAAGCATGTTCCTGAATCATATCAGAAACTATAAGAGAGGGCGAGACATACAAAGCCACAGCCACACGGTTAAAAAATAGATGAAAACCCCAAGGGAGAATCTTGAAATGTTGAGTGGCAGTAGTGGTCAGAAGGCAACACAGGCAGGGATGACCTGAATACTGTATTTGGAAACCAGGAAACAAACAAGACCCTGTAAGAGAACATGAGCGAGACTTTCACATGTGAAATTCACACTTCCCCAAGCCCAGGCCCCTCGGAGGTGTCCAGTGAGAGACAGCTCTGCCCTTTCTTCCTGGCAGGGACACTGATGCTCCCCCATCACTGCCACCACAGATGCCACACTCCTCTGCCACCATCAGGACATCTGACACTATCACCTGTTGGCTCTCAGGGCTCCCCTGGCTTTAATCTGCCTCTGCCACAGGGAACCTCAGGCACTTTGTCTCTGAATCTCCTGCTGAAGGCCTCAGAAGGGGTTGGAACCAGGCCGAGAACAGCTCAAAGCCAGCATTGGGGACAGCACAGACTTAGGCCTGTAGGCAGCAGTACATACTCCATAAAAGGTTTTTCTTCCTTTCTTTGCCTACTGTGTTAATATGGGAAAGAGCCTAGATCTTGACACATAGGACGCCTTCAAAAAATACTCTTATCACTTAATAATTTTATTTTACATTCAATTATTTTATTCGTTTGTTTGTTTGTTTGTTTATTGATACTAGGGATTGAACTCATGACCCTGTGCTTATGAGGCAGGCTCAGTTCTAAATCCCCAGCCCTTTTACATCAATTCTTAATTCTTCAAGCTTCTATGGGCAAGACTATTTGAAACCTATATGTGTAATTGATACCTGTAACTTTGGCAAATATTTTATTAAACTGGTGATTAAAACTAAAAAGTAAATTTTAAACATATGAACTGTTTATTTGTATGATCATTTGAAATGTCTCCTCCACCAGACAGTAAGCTTTCTGAAGGCAGGGATTGTGTCCCAACTGCCTGCTCAGTGTCAGAGTACAGCAAGCATCCAGTCAACGCTGCTGAATGGCTTCACAAACCAATCAGGGCATCTCCTGAGCCAGTCACACACCTCCCTAAATCTTCCCATCACTTCTCCAGGATGCTGTGTGCACACAGGTAAATAGGACTCTGGTCTCTTGTTTGTTACCTGAGTACCCTCAAATTAGTACACAGATTTAACTCCATCTCACACACACACACACATACACATCATCACCATCACCATCATCGTCATCATCATCATCATCAACATCAGCACCAAGTCCCACTCCAAAGGATACAGGTAGAATATATTCTTATACAACTGTAACTTGTCAAGACTGTCTGTTTCTTCTTTTTCTTGGACCAGGAATCAAACTCAGACCATTGCGCTTTGCAAGGCAGGCAGCGGAAGCACTGAGCTAGATCCCTGGCCCTGTTTCTTCTTTACTTACTAAAAATGTATGCACATGAAACAAGATAAGCCAAGTGACGGTACCTCGTAGACTTCCTAGCACCTATAGTAGCTGTGGCTACTATCAGCTTTAGTATAAAAATGTGACAAGCCCAGAGCACTGGCCTATCTCAGTAGGGATTAGGGACATAATAACCATTTGTTGGCTACATAAAAAAACGGCAAGGTGAATGAGTACAGGCGATGGGACCTGGATTGGAGTCGGGTTTGCAATTAAGCAGTTCTGTGACCTTCGACAAATTACAAACTGTATCTTCATCTGCCTCGCCTGTGAAGTGGAGAGACAAGAAGGAAAAATACACATTCTCTGTATTCATTGAATCATCAACTTTTTGAGTTCAGAGGACACTTGGCAGCCCTGTCAGCAGAGAATTCATTAAGCTTACCCAGGGTCTAAAGTCAGGACTGCAAAGTCACCCTGGTTTAATAAACAAGACTGCCTGTGTCTTGGTGCACAAAGTAATACCTCCAGGCACATGGTAGATTCTCCGGAAGCTGGGTATTGAATGAACGCAATCATGACTGATAAGGTATTATCTCACTGAAAGCTACTTTATATTGGTTCTGTTAAAGGTTAATTATCTGGTAACTTATTTAAGAATTAGTTATCACTGATAATTCAGTTGACTACCTTCATGAAAATAACTGTTAACTTTGTCCACAAAGTACATATACAGTCTTTTTTTTTCTTCAAAGTGTTACTTTAACAAAACACAGTTATTTTAGGCTTGTTAAGTGAGCACAAGTGTGCGCACGCGTGCATGTGTGTGTATGTGTGTGTGCGCCCGTGTGAGGAAAAGAGAGAGAGAATGTTTAAAGGCCCAGAAGGATATATCCAAGATAATATTAACCATGGGTCTCTCTAGGGGTAGAACTATAGATAATTTTCACTTACTTCCTTCTTTCTTTTACAATGAGCATGCTTTTTCTTTCTTAATTCAGAAAGAGATAATATGCTGTTTAGTGAATCGCTTATTAAATAGGCTACACTCAGCATTTAATAAACACAGCTAATACACTTTCTTTACTTGCTGGTTATAAAAATAATGTCATTCTTTGAGTGAGTCTGAAGAGGAAGAGAGAGAACATAGACTGCTCCATGCTGCAGTAGGTCAGGTCTCCCCCAACAGCCTTCAGATGCCCGGGTTCCCTGGGCTTTCTGTCCATCACCAGCTACTAAAACCCAGCCAGTTTTCTCCATATTTGGGGACATCACTCATCGCTGCGGTACTGTTCCCTCTCCCAGCTAAACCCAGACCCAAGTTCCTTCCAACAAGCATGGAGAGTGAGGGGACCCACTTGTTCTTTTTTCACCTCCCTTTTCCCGGGGCCAACACTTTTAGCATTGGAAACTGGGAGGAATGAAGAAAACGACTTCCCAGTTCTTGGCCGTGGGCACGGAAAACCTCCAGTAACAATGTCACCTGCAGGGTCCAGCTGAAGGCTCCGGCTGATGGCTCCGGCAAAGCCTCTCCCAGGCATGGTAACTTCTGCTGCCAGAAAATACCCTGGAACTGCTACAACTGTCCCTAAGAACCCTGAGCTCATGAGCGCCAAGGCCCGGATGAGTCCAGCTGAGCATCCTTCCACGGTGTCCATCTGTCCAGGAGCAGTGGTCCCAGGCTGCCCGAACTGAACAGCGGGACGGCGCCCCCTCCACCCCACCATCTTCTTGCCTCTTTCCACCAGCTTGTCAGCAGGCAATTTCCCACATGCAGAGGTGCCCTGGCCTTGGGAAAATCTGGTCCCTTCAGCTCTGGAGGTGGGGGGATTGTAGCCACAACCCTTGGGGCCACTGGGGAGGTTTGTCAGATTCTTGACAAACTCTGAACAAGCAGTTGGAGCTCAGTTATTTTTTTCGTTTGTTTTGTTTTGTTTTTTTCCAGTACCAGGGATCCAACTGGGGACCTTGCATTTGCGAGGCAGGTGGCAGTACCACTGAGCTAAATCCCCAGCCCTTGGAGCTCAGCTGTTTGAAGGCCTTATTCCCATGCCCTGTATGGGATCTTGAACCCAAGGCCTTTGTACTGAAGTGCATTTTCAGCCCTTTTTTTTTACTTTTTATTTTGAGGTCTCACTAAACCACCCAATAATCCTGGCTGAGCTCAAATTTGTGATCTTCCTGCCTCCACCTCCTGGTGAAGGCCCCTTCCAAATATGACGCACTTGATGGCTCTCTGCCCCCAGCCTTGGGAGCTCTTAGCCAACTCCAGAGAAACAGGTGAGATCCCCACAACATCCAGGTCCATGTACCATAGCAGACTCATGAGAAAAAGAACTCAAAAGACCAGCAGTGGTCATCCCTCTCTGATGGCACTGTAATTATTATTTTTCCATTGTACTGTTCTATTGTAAAATTCTCTAGAGTGAACAAGTATCACTTTTATAATCAGGAAGTACTTTATTCTATAAAAGGTGAATTGTAGATTAATTTTTTTAAAAAGTAAGCAAACTATTTCAAACAGTTCGATGTGAATTACAAATACTGGATTACCTTGGTAATCTACATTTTTATGTCCTTCCCTTTATTCATATCCTGAAGAGAATAATAAAATTTCTGCTTAATCAAAAAAACTTTCTTCCCACACCTTCAGTAAAATTAAGGCTTTAAATAGCTAATGTCTAATTTTAGTTTATGCTTAAATATTAGCTGTTTCTGTATTATGGGGGTTTCTTTATTTCAATCAGAAATTATCTTCGGCAAATAAATATTTTTAAATTGCTAACTAATAATTACAAAACTGTTATGCCTTTGGCAATATGAGGGACTCTTTTCTGAATTCCTTTATACCTACTTCAACATTTTTCAGAATTTAAAAAATAATCTGACGTTGAATATTTCTAAAGGACAACTTTATTATATATGTTTTAAAATAGGCATTACAGATTGACCTAATTTTTAAATTTCCAAAACAGGATAACAAAGTTTACAGTTATGTTTTTGTTTTTATTTTTTGGAACCGGGGATCGAACCTGGGGCCTTGCGCTTGCAAGGCAGGTGGTGGAACCACTGAGTGAAATCACCAGCCCCAAAGTTTACTACTTTGATGTTAATATGATTAGAAATTAATATCACTAATTTATGATTCTCTCTTTGAGTTCTGTCTCCTTCACCATTCCCTGCCCCATAATGTATTTGTCAAATAAATTAAAGGAATTGTCTCGAACTATGTTGGTATTTCATTCCTTACATCCTGAAGTAATAAAAAAACGTGGGCTTGTTCCCAAAACTTCACAAAATGCCAGCACCCAGGGTAGAAAAGACCCACTTGAACGTATTCCACCAAAAGTGTGGACCTTCCTGGGTCTTTGTCTATATTATTTATTTTTAAATCACCACATTAACTCTTTAATATTTTCACCTCTGGTTTTGAAATGCAAATACCATAGAAAATGCATCTCAATTTATAAATACCACAGTTAAGTTTTTGCTTTTGTTTTATTTTGTGTTTTACCCATTCTCCTGTAGATAGTGTGTAGAAAATATCTAGGTCAAGACAGTTTTTCTACCAGCACATCTTGAAATGGTGACCAGTGAAAGGAAAAAGGAACCCATTCTTGACTTTGAGTCTACCATGCATTTTCCGTGTCTGGTAAATCTGGCTTCGTGCGACGTACACTTTGATAAGCTGCTTGTAAGGTTTAATGGAGACTCAAGCATTCAATAAATGTTTGTGGGACTGAACTGTATTTCAGTAATTATTCTGTAATTCTTAAAACATGTCTATCCTGGGAGGCAGAAGGAGAACACAATTCAGTGTTTCCACATGAAATCTGCAAAGGCTCTACAAACCCAGTGCTGATGTCAGGAATACTGCGTGGCTTTTGTTGGTGATTTGGGGTTCACTACAGAGAGACTTTTAATTCCTCGCCAATCACTGCTTTTTTTTTTTTTTTTTTTTTCCTACCAGATTTCTAAACTAAAAATCTCGATTGGGAATAAATTCATTTCCTTCAGCCATCTGGTGGCTCTCGCTTGTAACTACAACATCCACTAGTGGTCCAACACCAAATTACCAGACATGTCCAAAACACAGCAGGTTCTGTCCTTTTGTCACTGTGTCTTTTATAAGATGTCTTATGATGAACAGGTACCCCCCCAAATAATGGGTTTATTTTAAAAATCTAAGATAAATCTTTGTGATTCTAGCTACAGGGCCACTCTAATGTCAACCGCAACATAGTACAGTCCTTGGATGATGGGTCTAGAGAAAACATGAGTTTATTATATTTATATAATCAGGCAATACTTATTAAGCATGCTTTAATGTGCCAGGAGGGTGCCCAGACTTTGAAGCTATAAAAACTAGTATGAGGGAGCTTGTGTTCTCTTGGAATACAGGCAAAACCATAGTACATCAGGATGAGCATTAGAACAGACATGATTTCCTTTACCCTCAGACTGAACAGCAGAGAAGGGCTGCTTTCCTCTCAGGATAAGCAACACAGCCAACAACAAAATTGAAATTCTTTTTAGAATCAGCACACAAGATGATGGAGCTGCAAGTACATTGTGTAAGTTGATGTCTCGCCATCTACAAAAGCCAAGGAGATTTGTATCTTTGTGCAATGCACAACCTCAAAGTCATGTGACGCTAAGTTGGGTCCCAGCTGGGAGCCAGGGTCTTGACGCAGGTGCAAATCCAACTTGGCCAAATGCCACCTCCACCCCAGCTCTTTGAGGAGGGAGGAGCCTGCCCACCTGGCTTCACATGCGCCCATCTGGGCTGTACCCATTCCCCTGAACAAGCAAGTGTTTCTGGACAAGAGAGGGAAGAGTTCACTCTGCCAGCTCACTCTGCCTGAGAGGCTGTGAGGTTTGAGCTGCATGTAGAAGCAGATTAGATTTCACAGGATAAAACAAGGACACAACATTTCACTTAATGGGGGAAAGTGCCAGGTAAAAGACATCAAGGCCCATTTGGTGACCTGCATGCAGCTAATTCAGGACATCCAGAGAGGCTGTTGTCAATGGAAAATGGTGACAGCTACAACTGCGAAGGTAGGCAAGAGCCCCTACCTGGGGAGAAGAGGAAGGTGCCATGCCCAGGGGATGAGACTGCTTGCTGCCCTGTTAATTGTTTGCTGCCCTGAAACAGCGTGGGAGATCAGAGCAGAAGATGTAAATCTGGAACTGCTCAGAATCAATGCTATGGGAAAGGAAGAGATGATTCCTGACCAAGATGTTACAACATTCACACTTGGAAGAGACGATGAAATAAATGGTGAGAGAATCACTGCGCATTCTTACATACACCTCAGTCTATTGAGACCACCAGGCAGGATGCAGGAAGGATCCAGCCCAGTATCTTCTGCAGCAGCCAGCAGTGGGTTCCTGGTGTGGGGCGCATGGGGAGCTCGGAGAAGGTGCAGATCTGGTGTTACGAAGGCGCTATAAATAGTTTTTAAAATAAGGGCTTCCATCAACTGCACAGCTAACTGCGTGAGCACCTTACAGCTGAGGTCGTGGGGCTGTGTCATCTATCTTCAGCCTTAACTGGAGCCCTAAGCCCTGACCCAAGCCAGCGCCGGGGATGGCAGGGTGGGCAAGGACTCAGGAGCCTGCAGGTGTGGCATCATAAACAATGTGCCTGTGCCTTTCCCAGCTCACTCAGCCTGGGCAGAGACTCCAATCAAAGTCACCCTTGGGAAACACCAGCATTACTCATCAGCTGGAATTTTTAAATTAAAAGACTACCTAATTCTTGTGGGAGGGAGAGGGGTTGTTTCCCTTTCCATCAGTAAGTCAATTTTCCCCCTCTCATCTTCCATCTTATTATATTTTAGAAGAAATTCATTCCAGTTAATACGAAAATGAGAGGCCAGAAATGATGAAGGATGCTAAGGGAAGCTGTGCTAGTGATTCAGTGAATCTGTCACTTGAGGTATCAATAATACACTTAGTTATCTGTCGTTTAAATGCTGTCCATATCCATCTGCTCTTGGAAGCAGTCTGAACATCCTAGAATTATAAGGAATGCATGAATGGAAAGATACTGGGCCCTTCTCCTAAGATTAAAAACTCTATGTCACTTTTAAGGCCTCGGCAGAGACTATCTTAAAGGGTAGAATGATGTCCACACAGGAATGGTGTTGGAGTAAGTCTGATACTGGTGAGAAAAAAATCTCAGCCTAACAAGAAGTCAGTATTCACTACATTGCTACTTAAATATTCATTGTTGTTTTTCCCTAATTCTGGGTGTTAGGATAAATAAAAAATAGAAATATCCCAAATAGGGTGCCATACCTGCCTTGGAAGTACAAGGTTCTGAGTTTGATCCCTGGCACTGGGGGAGAAAAAAAAAAGCAATGTCCCAAATAATGCTAGATGCTGCGATGCATGCCTATAATACCAGCAGTTTGGGAGGCTGAGGCAGAAAGATCGCAAATTCAAGTTCAGCCTGGGCAACTTAGCAAGACCCTGTCTCAAAATAACATATTTTAAAAGGGGTTGGGATGTAGTTCAGTGAGAAGGCCCTAAGTTAAATCCATAGTACCACAATGAAAAAAAAAAAAAGAAAGAAAGGGAAGAGGAAGGAAGGAAGGAAGGAAACAATTTGCCAAATAAGACGAGGCACCTTCTGTAAAATATTTGACATCTAATGAGCTAAGCATTTCTTTGTTCTTAACTCTTTTTCAAAACTGTTTTGGTTCTTCTTTCTGTTCATTCTTCTAGATTATTTAAATGAGTTTTGTCAATTTTCCCCCAAAAAAGTCCTTTGGGGTTTATATTGGAATTATTTTTATATACCTTTTACAACCTAGAGAACAGACATGTTTAGTCTCCCTACCCATGAATGTGATGTTTCTCTCTACTTACTCGGCTTTTTCCCCAGTGAATTTTAGCATTTTCTCTGTACATGTTTACATATTTCAGTGAAGTCCATTCATTGGTATTTTATGACAGCTTGCTGCACTTAAAAATGTGCCCAAAAGTGCAAGCCAGAATGTCACATTTGCCAGGACATGTAAGGAACAAAAATATTTCCAATATGGCATTTTAAGAAATCACTGAAAAAGTAGTAGTCATCTTCTATTATAAAGAAACAGCTCATCTTAGAAATTTATTTTGGTTGCTTCATGGAAATAACTATAAAATGACAGTGTGACCTCAGCAAATATGGTTTTTTTTGAAGAGCACACCCTATCAGACCACTCTTGACTTCCTTCTGCAATAAGGTAGTTAACTTTTAGATAAGGGCAAAGAATTATATGTGAAAT